TTTTCTTAAAAAGGAAAACAATGGTCTGCTATTTTTTTTTTTTAAACTTAGATAACAAGTAACAAGTAAATGTAAACATTTGTAACACAATCTGCATTATCAATTAATTACAGCAAAACAAAACAAAATTAAGCACAATCTTTTCCTATTCAAATCGAAGAATATGACAACATGATACCCGCTAATGAGGCCTCGTTTTCCCAAGCAGAATTCAATCAAAGCGATTAAGTTATTAATATTTTCATATTGTTAATTTCTCATTTAGCTGGAGTGGGTACTGTAAAAGACTAGGGGAACACCATGAAAGTGTCTTTCAACAAAAACAAGTGTGTTTGAATAGTACGGCAAACTTACAAAGAACCACTTGAGAGAGAGTCCATTTAGCCTAATAATGTCTGGTCTAATTATTCAACAACAATAAACAAACAGTCTTGAAGAGAATAGGTAGAGGACTATAGGCTTCACAAAACTCCTAAAAAGATTCCTGCCTTTTGATCTGCAGCGTGCACCTGTCCATGTGACTCTATCTTGTATACATCACTCCTTCTGACAGGTCAATCAGCCAGACAGGCCATCAGAGCACATCTCCCAGCCTGACAGCGGTCAACGCTCGATCCAGTCTGACAGTTGACCAGGTACTGCCGCCAGCCAGGCACTACCGCACACGGAGAGTAAGAGGAATGCGGGAAACATGGAAGGGCATGACTCTTTTAGGGATGGAAAAGCAGTTCGGAGATGTCTGCACGAAATAAGATGCCTAAAATAAACGAACTCACATGAAGAAGTGACCATATCTTTAGTCACTGACAAATGCTCCATTCCAAATGGAGTGTCAGTCCATTTAATTCCATGTTATTAAACTGGGGAAAGCCAAGAGCCGTGTGCACCAGGGCTGAAGCACCTGAGGGGTTTGCTTCTATAAATCCATGACAGGTCTAAATCGAACGCTACCGATTTGCAGCCGAGAGGAAGATGGAAGAAAATCTGCATTCATCTTGTCATCCCCCCCCCATCATATCCCAAAGAGAATGGAATAAATAAATAAACCGAGTCCCAACAACGTGAAGGGGAGACAACAGCAGAAACCAGCCAGAGCCAGAAACAGACCGTGTTTGATCCGCTTAGCATGGCTCTCTCCTGCCTTTTGATGCATGGCTAGGAGGAGAGTAATTAGCAATTAACAATCAGGGCTTAACGAGTGCAAGTTATTATCAAGCAGGGGTGAAAACATATCTTGCACATTGACAAAGCGAGGCAAAAAAAGACTAATTCTCTCATTTCCATGATATCTCGGAGGCCATTTTTTCCCCCTGCAACAGATCAAACAGGCTCCAACAAAAGGCCTCAAATCTCCCCTACTCTTCCAAATTAGCTAAGCCTCTCGGCTCCATCATCCCAAACATGGCTCGCGTCAACAACCCCATCCGCGTATACGAGTGCCGCCACCGCTGAAATCCACAATCCTCAATCCCCGTCGCCCCCACCTCTCCCCCACTGGAACAAGACGACGAAGAGGGGAATAAACTCTCACTAATGTCACTCTGAATTTGCAGACATCAGGACGCAAAGTATCCCAGAGTTACCAGAACAGGAAACGTTGTCTCTCGTTTTCCCCTCTCTCAAATGTTTGTTTCAGCGACTTGCTTTTAATGATGTGTTTGTCTTTTGTTTTCCAGAGGAATGTATTAAATAACCGTGACTGCGTATGAAATCGCCAGGCCTGACAGCTTGGGGAACTCCACAGTGGTAAACAGGCAAAGGCGGGGGCCGCGTTTCCTCAGCCTTGCTCTGACATATTCAGGCCTTCGCAATGTTCCCGATTTCGCTCCGATTACCTCTCATGTTTGCCGCTGCCCTGTCTTCTTAGCATCTCCAGGGAGTGAGGTGATCTAAGATGGCAAATGGGACTTTCAATCATTTGCTTTCTCTTTTCTTTCTTATTGTGGACATCAAAACTCTAATGTTGGGAGTTGAAAGCGGACTGTTTTGGGAGGATCCGAATGTCTGGACTTTTCCCGCCTCTCTTTTGATTAATTCTTGGATGATGTTCTTCTGGAAAAAGGTAAGGACAGAGGCAAAAAGTCACAGTAAAGGCCGTCACATCCAGTACTGGAGATTATGATTAGATCTAGAAATGTTAGCATGTAGAGGACACTGGGGCTAGATGTCACATGGGAAAGTTGTCACAAAAGCTACATATCATGAGCTATGTAGCATAAGCTATAAGCTTGTTTTCTTGATTAGCGGTATGGTCTTGCTACATAAGTCCCAAAGTATCCTAATAAACACCTAGTGAAAGTCATTTTAAATACAGAGGTTGGCCAATGAATCTAAATGATTTTTAACCATGAAATAATGGTGTGCAATAGTTTTTCTCAGGGCTTCAAGGTACAGCTTTAAAAAACATTAATTTTTTAACATTAGTTAACAAGAACTAACAATGAAAATGACTTCTAAAGCATTTATTAATCTTAGTGAATGTTAATTTAAAAATATACTTATACATTAATAAAATCAATGGTTGTATCTGTTAATATTATTTAATGGACCTGAGCTATCATGAACTAACAATGGACAGTTGTATTTTTATGTGTATATAGATATAACTATACAAAGATTAATGAATACTGTAACAAATGATTGCTCATTGTTAGTTAATGTATTAAAGTTAACTAATGGGACCATAATGTAAAAAAGCACACACACACAAAAAAAAGATCAAACTTAAAAAATCTAAACTAAACCTAGTCTAAAGTAATTTCTTCATGTTTCTCCCAGCATCGACAGTTTAAATACAACCATATTTGCTGTTTTACTGCTGTTTATCTCTCAAATAATCACCATTAGGATACTGAGAAAAACTGTTACTTGTTTTCACGTTGAAACATGAAATGTGATTGTGGCTGGGACTTCTCTAAACCCGTTTAGAAATATGTGTACACTCGGATTACCAGATGGTTCAAAGTCGTTTTAAAATAGCCCGTACTTAAACAACTGAAACTGTCAGCAGCAATTCCTTCAAAGGTTAACTTACCCGCTTGGAATGACAATACCGTTGCAATTGATGAATCTGAGCATCCTTTAGACTGCCAAGCTTTTTATTTTCTGTGGCCTGCTGCCATCAAGATGGTTTAAATAAGGCAGGATTAGTGGATTTGGGGAATTAGCAGCAAAGTTGGCAGCCAAGACCCCGGCACTAAAAGTGGAGAGCAAAAAGAAAACAAGGTCTTTGAAAACAGGTTCACACTACACCTCATTTACAGCTGTTTATTCCTCTGCATCCCTATTATAACTCTTTGATATAAACTTGTGAAATTAAAAGTAGACTTTGATATACAAGTTGCTGGCATGTGCATGAAATACACTGGAGGAAGCACTTTGTTTCCCCCCAATCCATAATGTACTGCACTTTACTGTTAATGCAGCACTAGAGCCGATCGAGTGGGTGCTGAAAACAGAAACAAATCTAAATGCTGTTTGGGTTTACCTCTCTCAACACTACCTTAAATGGGGTCCACACAGTCTGACGGGGCCAGTTTAGCAGCAGGTCGGAAAAGGTTACAGTGCCAAGTGTGGAAGGATGGGAAAACAGACAAAAAGATTCTTGTTATTAATTCTTTTATTAAGAGACTTGATTCTATTAAACGCCCCAAATGCATTCATCCCGTGGTTCCCAATTAGACATGACAGCTCCTACATTACCAACAATAAATATAGCAGAGGGCAGACCCCCAGGCCAACAAAGACCCCTGACAATGACCCCTGCGCTTAATGATGAAAACAAGCGTGCTCTCGCTCTCACATTCTCTCCCTCCCTCAGCTGTAGGTTCTCTTCCACACATCCCGTTCATGTCTACACTCCCTTAACAAACACACTCACACACATATGGTTCACTCTGGTTCATGTTCGAAACCCCGTTAAAAGCTTAAAAGCGATCAGGGTTGACAGTGATGACACGCCAAGACACTTTTCCATCACAAGAAAACAACACATGCAGACACTCACTCACACATACATGCAAATTGGAACCAAATTTCTCAAAATGCAGAGCAACTACAATCTCTTTGGCAAATTACAAGATGAAACAAACTATTTCAGAAATAAAAGTGCTCATAATTTAGATGCTTTTTCCAGTTTTGTGGAATCTAATTGGAAAAAAAACAAAAAAAAAACATAATGACCTTCTTTGACTACTTACTTCATACATATTTACAAACTATTATGGATATATGAATAGCTGTGTGATGCAACTCGATATTGAACCAACATGAAGTTTTGCGCTGAACTCTTTCTCTCTCTTAAAGTTAAGTACTGATGAACTCACACTTAGTGTTTGCTAGGGCAAGGATCATTATTACCATTTTTCATTCTTGGGGTTTAAGGATTTGAACTAACCCTGACCCCAAAATATTAAACTGAATTTGAAGCCTCAAATTATCCAATCTGTTTGGCGTTAATGATTCGATTTTTAGATTTCACGGTTTCTCCTGACACAGTCAAAAAGACAATTCAATAGTGAAAAGACGAGATTTAACAGATATAGCATTTAGGCCTTGTCTGATCTTGGTAATAAATGGCAACACAATTTATGTTTACAAAATACTAATAACTAGGGGAGTTATGAGTGACAGTCACTCCAGTCAAATCCAAGATATTCACGTTCATCCAAGCATGGCCTTATTGGAGTTAGTTCCTATCCCTATTAGTTAACATTAGTTAATGGATTAACTAACAATAACTAACAATGCGATGCATGAGCAGCAATGCACTAACAAGCAATGCATTTATTACAGTATTTATAAAATTTATTTAACTAATGTTAATAAATGGAACCTTATTGTAGAAGTGTTACCAAAATAACACACTGATACAGCTCAGCTAATGATTGATCAGATTTGCCAAAAATAAACGGGTACAAAAATGTAAAAACACCTTAAAAGTAAAACTTTTAATATTAAAACATAACAGAGTAACAAAAACCAGAAACCGAGTAAAGCAGCAAAGTAACTTGATTTATTGATGCAATCTATTCATAAAGAACATGAGAAAACACAAATAGCATATAAATTATACAAGAAAATACACACAGTACTTTTAAATGTACCAAATGACATTGCTTGTGAGGGCCGGAGCATTGAAGAGGACCAGTTGGCAGACTTGTGAGTCAGGTTTCTTTTACAGACTCTTGCTTGACTCCTGTACATCATGTTCATAGACCCTCCATTCAAATCAGAGAGCTCCTAATTCACACACAGTAAATCTACAGTTTTCCGTTGGCAAAAGCCCCCTCCTGGAACTGAGGGATAAAGCTTTTGAAGTAAGCCCTGTGGAAGAGAGAAAACGAGAGTGAGAGAAACAGAAAAGAAAGAGAAAGAGACACGACAACAGCAGTGTCATGTAGAAACTTACATGCCTGAATCACCTCCTGAATATTAACTTGACTAATTAAAAGAAAAACAATATTTTCCTATTTGAAATACAAGACTACTTCATTTAATATGTTAATATTTATATTAACAGTTACATTTTTAATGAAAATTTTTGCTGTTGGACCACAAATTGGTACACTCTAAAAAAATGCTGGGTTAAATACAACCCAGTGCTGGGTAAAATAGAGACAAGCCCAGCAAATGGGCTGTTTTGACCCAGCGGTTGGGTTACTACCCAGAAGGTTGGGTTAAACATTTAACCCAACTGCTGGGTCAAAACAGCCCAATTGCTGGGTTTGTCCCTATTTTACCCAGCACTGAGTTGTATTTAACCCAGCATTTTTTAGAGTGTATAAAGAATCAATAGATTACGCTGGTATTAATATTGACAACTTATGCCGAGTTCACACTGCACGATTTTTAAACTCGTCGGATCGCCGTTGTTTTCACACTGCGTGACTATCTGGGGTAGCATTCAGTTGCTGCTGTGTTCACATTGCACGATGGATCGGCGACAGGGGGTTTCACACTGCATGACTTCACAATAGGAAGAATCGCCGTCAACTCTGTCTGGTCCGCAAACTACGTTTCACAACAAAACACACGCGAGAAGTGATAAGGAAATAACGCGAGAACCCGCATGCGTCAGACCGGAGTTCTCCAGGGAGACTGTAATTATTAAAAAATATATATATAGCCCGCAAATTGTCTGTGAGCTGATTTCCAGCTACAAGGAGAAAAAGAAAAACAGATTATGCAGGAGGGAGATGCAAGGAACAGGGATTGGGTGTTCTGCAAAGAGAGTTGGAGGTAAATAATTTAGCAGTAACTGTTATGCTGATGTTGTGGCTGGTCAAGCAAATGTTTGTGCTTGTTTCTGTATGATATAATTGTTCATATATCTATTAAAATACTGATATTCTGGTCTATAACTCCTCCACGAACTTCCCTCTGCCCTGTATCTTGGTCTCTCATTGGCTGTAGGTCATCGCCGATGTAGTTTTCAGTCAGAAATCATTGCACACAGCATGATTGTGAATCGCCGACAGCTCCAGATATTATAGCATGCCAAATATTTTGCGGGCGTCGGCGACGTGTCAGTGATTCCCTCAGATCGCGTCTTTGATAATTCACACTGCGTGATTGTCACTCGCGGGAACGAGCACCGATTTGCCTCCGATGTCGGGCATTTGTCGGCGATTTCGCAAAACCTGTCGGCGAGTGAAAAATCGGGCTAAAATCGTGCAGTGTGAACTCGGCATTACATTTTTGGCACATTTTTAGTATTTTGTATTGCGACAACACTTATATACACTCTAAAAAATGCTGGGTTGTTTCAACCCAACTTTGGGTCAAATATGGACTAACCCAACCGTTGGGTTAAATTTTTACATTAAATTTTTAACCCAAAAGTTGGGTTAGTCCATATTCGACCCAAAGTTGGGTTGAAACAACCCAGCATTTTTTAGAGTGTATGTTCAAAAAGATGGGGAATACAAACTATAACCAATAAGGCCAAATTACAGAAAAGACTAAATAAGTGTCCATACAAGCAAGTTAATCGGGGAATCTACATTTTTAATCACTGCTTGATTAAAGCCAAGCCAGAAAGCCAAAGGAAAAGTTATCCAAGCAGAGATAAGACACGGGCCGAACACAAACACTTATCACACTCAGGACAAAGAGTGCTCTCCAGCTATGAGGTGTGGCTAGGCGAAAAAAAGTCCAAAGGTGAACGCTACACATTCCAGTATAGCCTCCAGAAAACTCACTTTGACTGCATGAAGTGGAACCAAATGAGAGGAATAGCATTTCAAAGGGAGTAAACTATCGGTTGCTCTTTGTTGGGAGGATTCATAATTCATTTGTTCTTACTTGGCCCGCTTGGCCATCTCGTTGCCATCCCAGCGTGGACTGTAGGGGTACGATTTCTGCACCTGAGAGTAGAGCTGCCCACTGCTGGTGAAGTGATAGATAGACTGAAACGTGAGGGTGGGTTGATCTCGAGGGAAGTATAAAGGCAGGTCCACTACAAGAAGACAGCATGGAGAACAGCTCAAATACAGATCATCCAGAACAAAAACGGTGAAGCATGAAAGATGAACCACCATGAACATGTGATAGAAGTTCATATTTTCATAATATATAAAGGCAACTCATGCTCACTGGACATAATGTGACTCTGGCTACATTTCTGCAAAATCTTACCTGTACATACAATTCAATGCAGTTAAAAAAAAAAGAAAAAAAAAAAGCTCAAGGACATCTAGAAACTAAAATGGCATGGTTGCAAATGCATTTTTATCTGCAATGGGAAAAAAAATATATCGCCTATAGTGCATTTTATGAATGTGATACTGGAAAAGTACAGCAAAATGTACCCGGAGGAAGACATTTCAGTTTTTTGCAGAAATGTTGCCAGAGTCATTTATTTCCAATGACCCTGTGTTGCATGAAGGGAACATGTATCTCACCATGGACCAGGAAGCAGAAGTCTTTCCACATGAGCAGAAGGGTGAGCTTGGTAAACCCAACAGCATCATACTCTACCACACCCCTGTGTAGTCAAAACAGAGTAATATTCACAATTGATAATATCGTTGTATAAAATATAAGATAATAAAGAAATCTTGGCATCTTCCCTGTAATATTGGCCTGATTGCCAATATGTGTACTTTTAAACTGCAGTTCAATGAGGACCTAAAATGTGACCTCAAAACAACTGACAAAAGAATCTAATACACAGTAGAACCAAAAAGTATTTGGACACTTAAGCTACAATTGCAATCGTAATTATTCTCTCATCTAATGCAATGACGTTCATACATTTTTAAGAGCCCAAATACTTTTTTAGGGCCATTGTATCTTCTGGGTCATTATCAGAGATATTAAAAATGGTAATTGTAAAGAGAACCAAACTGAAGAACCACGCATTCTTGGTGATGCAAGAGATATGAATAATGCGTTGTCCTACTTCACATTTAATAAATGACTGCGTTGTCTGACGACGTATTAAGGCGTGTTAATAAACTTGAGACATCTTGGTGCCTTGTGCATTACAGCCCATTATAAAGCTGCTGTTTGTACTTGTTTATGAGATTAGAAGCAGAATTGTCCTAAGTAATTAAAAAAAAGGAATTAATGTCAGTAACTAATTTCTCATGATCACAGGGGTGTGGTGAGCAGCTATACTGGTTACCACTACAGGTACAGGCTTGCAAGACCAGTTTTATTTATTCATTGTCTCGATTTGGAGGTTTATATGTCTCAAGTGTATCACATCACTTTTAGCTTTCCATTAAAAGTTAAAAGTTGACAAAGAATCTGAATTCATACAATTCTAGTTCACTACTGAAGTTAGTAATAACATTGTTAATTTATTAGGCTCCTGTTATGATAAATTGCTTGTGTTTTTCTCATTCTTAAGCTGTTAAATGAATATGGTTTACTCTAAATGTGACAGAGATAAATTAAGCAGCATTTAAGGGGAAAAACAGACTCACATTCCAAAGTGACTGAGAAAAGCAGCAATGTATTCTCTCCTCTTGTGATATCCTTGAATGACATACTGAACCTGTGTTAAGAAAAAAAGCAATAAAAAAGAATGAAATGAAAGTTTATTGGTGGAAAAATAACCAAATGAATGTGGCTGAAAGAATAAAGTCCCTGCACACCAGAAGCAATTTTTCACAATGAACAGAATTGAGATGGATAATGACACTAACCTTGCAAAGCCAACACTGTTATTGAACTGAACTGAATTAACATTGAACTGACTTGAGCTGAATAAAGACACTATTATCTTCTGTAAAGTGGCTTTACAACTGAATTTTTTTTTTTTTTAAAGGATACATTTTACAACATTAAGGGGTCATTCACATAAAACATGATTTTGCTTTGAAAATGTAAAATGTGGGCAGTGGAGTGGATTAAAAAACAAAGCCTCGAGATGTTTTTTTTAATTTTTTTTATTTGAACTTTATCACACGTGAAATGCTGAAGATGCAAGAAGATGCAAGAAGCAAGCGCAACTGTCAAACACGTGCATCTAGTGTTCTTAATCAATGGGGGGAAAAAAACACAGTGGAATGGAAACACATGTTCTGTGCGAACAAACAGCCCTTAACATTATTGTTATTTTCCTGTTTATTACTGTGAAGCTGTTTTGAAACCATCTGTATTTCATCAAATGCCATATAAATAAATGTGACTTGACCCGACATTGTCTGAAGAAATCATTTGCCTGATTGCCTGAGCAAGTGACACAAGCCAAATTCAAACTCACACTGCCTGCATAAGCATCATGGCTCAATGTGAATGAGCAGGTACATTACCAGTAGAGGCCAGGGCTCTAACTGTGTTGTCTTATGACAGGAAATTCACTTTCTACTGGAATTGATAAAAACATATATAATTCATAATCACTTACACACAATGCTTTCTGTGTAAAAGTGAGGTGATATATAAAGCTCATATAGTAATCTAGGTCTCTATAGTACATTAATAGCAAGAATAAAGTTTGCTTGGAAGCCTTTGCTTTCATGCCTTGTTTAAGAAATTCAGCATCCAGGAAAGGTTTTTGCTTCCCAGTGTTTGTTTCCCTGCATGGCAGATGGATAGCTTGTGGCAGTCAGAGAGAGCCATAGCTCTGACCTCCACTGGATGCAGGTGAAAGACCCTCAGGTCCCGAACTGCTTGATGGTGACCTACACTCACTGACCTCTTAGATGTACATAAATAACCCTGAATTTAGCAAATCACATTCTGGCAGACTGCAGTTCCCTAACTTGTATGGTTGCACATTTTGGGGGTTTAATGCCAATATTCTATTTGTCACCACAAAACATTCTGGAGGAAAATTGATTGCATTAAAGGGGTCATATGATGCGATTTCAATTTTTCCTTTCTCTTTGGAGTGTTACAAGCTCTTGGTGCATAAAGAAGATCTGTAAAGTTGCAAAGACTAAAGTCTCAAATCCAAAGAGATATTCTTTATAAAAGTTAAGAGTCAGCCACGCCTACCTAAAACGGCTCGTTCTAACACACCCCCACATACCTACGTCACGATCTCGGAAGATTTGCATAACGCCGCCCAAACGTTCACGCAAAGAAAGAAGGCGTAACTTATATTCTCGCTGTAGTATTGTTGTTGCCGCCGCCACCATGTCGTGAAGGCACTGTGTGT